GCTGATGAAGGCCATTTGTGACAAGTCAACAGCCACCATCTTATTGCATGGGGGAAAGATGAGAGCTTTCCACTAAAATCAAGAACAAGACAAGGATGTCCATTATCGCCATGCCTGTTCAATATTGTTTGCAAACCATTGGCCAGAGCTATCTGGCAAAAGAAGAAAATTGATACATATAGGAAAAGAAGAAGTCAAATTATCATTATTTGCAGATAACATGATTCTTTACGTAGAAGACCAAGAAAAATTCACCAAAAGACTCACTGAATTAATACGCAAATTGAATACTGGAGCATACGCCAAATCAACAGACAAAAATTGATAATGTTCCTGTAGAACAATAATGAATGAACCCATCAAAAAAAAATTAGTCAAACAATGCTATTCACAATAGCTTTAAGAAAAATAGAATACTTAGGAATTAATGTATCAGGAAAATAACATTCACAATAGCATCAAAAAATTTAAATACTTAGGAATTAACCTAACCAATGAAGTAAAACACCTTGTACTCTGGAATTAAAAAAAAAAAAATCTTGCCTGTAATCCCAGCACTTGGGAGGCTGAGGCAGGAGGATTGCTGTGAGTTCGAGTCCAGCCTGGGGTACATAGTGAGTTCAAGGTCAGTCTCAACTACATAGTGAGACTGTTTGTGTCCTAAAACAAACAAACAAACAAAAAATCAAAGGAGACACCAGAAAATGGAAAGATATCTCATACTTGGACAGGAAAGACCAACTAATATTGTCAAAATGGCCATACTACCAACACTGATACATTGATTTAATGCAATCCAAACCAAAATATCAATGGTATTTCTCACTAGAGAAAACAGTCCTAAAATTTATAAGGAACTAGAAGAGATCCAGAATAACAAAAGCAATCCTAGGCAGCAAGAATGAAGCAAGAGGTACCATGATACCAGATTTCAAGTTATATTAGAAAGCTACAGTGATTGAAAAAAAAAAAAAAAAGAATAATGGTACTACAACAAAAATAGACTTGTAGATCAATGGAACAGAATAGAGAGTACGGAGACAACCCAGACACTTTCAACCATCTCATCTTTGACATAAGGGCCTAAAATGTACAATAGAGGAAAGAGAGTCTCTTTAGCAAATGTTGCTGAAAAACTGGCCTATCCACATGCAAAACATTGAAGCTCTAGACCCATAGCTGTCACCATTTACTGTTAAAATAAAAATGGATCAAAGATCTAAATATTAAAACAGAAACAACCTACTGGAAGGTAAAATAGGTAAAAGGCTTTGGAGAAAAAGGAATACTTCTACATTGTTGGCAATGTAAACTGGTACAACCATTTTGAAAAATAGTATGGAGATTCCTCACAAATCTAAAAATAGAAATTGTCTGCAATCCAGCAAATTCCATTCTAAGCATCTTCCCCAAAGAATTAAAGACACAATATTATAGTGATACATACATACCTATATTTATAGCAGCACAATCCATAGCAGCTAAATCTTGTAAGCAGCCTATAAAAAAATGTGCACTTTATACACAGTAGAGTTCTACTCTGCTATATAGAAGGTTAAATTTGAGTCATTTGTAGAAAATGGATGCACTCTGAGACCATAAGGTAAAGTGAAATAAATCAGATACACAAGCTCAAATATCACATGGCTGCTCTTATATGAAAAATGGAATATATAAATAAGGAACAAAAAAAGATAGATAATAAGGAATAAAGAGATGGATCTTTTGCAAATTGGGAAGGGGACCAAGAGATGGAAGGATGAGTGAAAGAAGGGAAAGGAAAGGGATAAAAAAGAATCAAGATGTTCTATGTACATGTACCAACTCCCACAGTGAATGTAATCATAATGCCCTGCCAACATGTACTATTACATGTACATATTACGACATGTACATATTACAACATTTTTAAACATGATTTTAAAATTTTATGTTTAAAGATTTAAAAGTATATATTAGTTACTTTACCAAAGAAACATATAACAAATTTCTAAACACGCATAAAGAAAGTGAATCAGTAATAAGTTTGCTCCAACATAGTATCAGAAATGTCGTTTTCAACAACAGACAAATTATGAGACATTCAAAAGAACAGAGTAGCATGATAGCTACTCAGAAGGCAAAAAGAAAAAAAAAAAAAGAAAGTGCAAGTAACTGAAGTTGCCTCTAGGAGGGCCTTGGATGTCGGACTTAACAGACTTCTGTTCACTGTAATATGTTGAAAACTAAAGGAAACCATGACTAAAGAAACAAAGGAAAGTCTAATGACAATATCATATCAAATAAGGAATAAAAATGAACTACATAAAAGTTGTAGAATTGAATATACAGCAATTAAAATGAAAAATTCACTGAAGTGCCTCAAACATAGATTTTAACTGATAGAAGAAATTAATGACCTGAAGATAGAATAATATAAGTTATGCAATCTAAAAAAGACTCCACAAAAGTGTAGCACGCCATTAAAAGACTGACACATGCATAATTAGATTATATAGGGAGAGGAGAAAATAAACGAATAGAAAAATTACTGGAATAATGGCTGAAAAATCCTCAAATCTGATGAAAAACAGTGTGATCTCTACTTCTAAAAACCTCAACATATTTCAAGTTGGATAAAATGAAATAAATCTATAACCAGATACTTTATAATTAGAATGCTGAAAGACAAAGAGAAAAATCTAGAAAGTGGCAAGAGATAAAAAACCCATACAAGGGCTAGAGATGTAGCTCCGTGGCATTATGCCTGCCTGGCAAGTGCAAGCAAGGTCTTGAGTTCAATCCCCAAACAAGTCATACAAAAGGAAAGTCTCCAAAACATTAACAGGTGACTTCTCTCCAGAAGCAATGAGACCACAAAGACCCCATATTTGAAATGTGATACATTCAAAATGCCAGAAGAAAAAAAACAGTCAACAGAGCCGTCTTTCAAAAATGAAAGTAAAATCAAGATACCGCAGATAAATAAAATTAAGGAAATTTGCTTTTATTAAAATTCCTTAAAATGAATAGTAAAAGAAGTTCTTTATGCTAAAAGCAGGTGACATGAGAGCAAACCCATGTGATAAAACAAAGCACACCAATAGAGGTAATTATGTAATTATAAAAGTGTATAAATACCTACTTCTCCCTTCTCTTTAAAAGCAATCATATAAAGCAGTATGTACATAATTATATTTGGGACCCCAAAACGTGGAAATGTAATACATTTGATTATATCAGTGAGAAAGAAGATGAATAGAAAAAAGCCATGTTGGAAATGATGCCATATGGTCCCTGAAAACTATAGGAACAGATTATGGAAAACCAGAAATGACAAATAAGGTGTGTAATATAACAAATTTTGTAAGTGTACACTTGTTCTCCTTTCTTTTCTCAGCTCCTTTAAAAGCCACAAAATTACATAAAATAATAATTATAACACTTTACAGTTGGATTTATAATATATGCAAATGTGATTTTTATTAACACAAAAAATGTGTTAATTCAGCTACATAAAAAGAATTTTACCATATTTACTGAAATTAGATTTATAAATCTAAGTGGAATCTAAAAAATTAAGATATGTATGGTAAGCCTTGGTTATAAGGATAAACATAAAAATCAAATGTATAAAATTTAGAATAAAAATTTTACCCCTATTTATACTCAACTGATTTTCAACTAGAGTGTCAAAAAATTTAATGAAGGAAAGAATAAGTTTTTCAATGAAGTCTAAGACAAATGGGAAAGAATAAAATAGAATCTCTCTCACATACCATATAGAAAATTAAATCTCAGAATGGATAAATAAATTAAATATAGCAAAAGCAGAAGATACTTTGAAGAAATTATGGATATAAATATTCATGACCTTGGGTTAGCAGTGTTTCATAGAAATATCTTCAAAAGCCCAGAAAAAAATGAATAAATAAAAGAAAGAAAGAAACTGTAGTTCATCTAAATTAAAAAAAAAAAACTTTTGTGTTATAAGGTATGCCATTAAGAAAATTAAGAAGACAATCCATAGGATATGTTTGTAAGTTATATATTTATGAGGGATAAAGACAACTCATTAATAAAAGAAAAATCACCCAACTAAAGAACAAGCAAAATATTTGAATACATGTTCCTAAGAAAACAGATGAGTGGCCTATAAGTGTATGAAAGAATATTTGACCTCCTTAATTATGAGAGAGATGCAAATCAAAGCCATCAGGTACAATTTCATATCCACTAGGATGGCTATAATTAAAAAACTTTTTTAAAACATATTAAAATTAGAACTCTTATATGCTGCAGATGGAACCATGATATAACACATACAGTTTGGAAAATTGGATTTGCAATTTTCAGAAGCGTTAAACATAAATCCCTAGCAATTTGACTCCTAGGTCTATGTCCAAAGAGGAGGAAAACATGTGTCTATAGAATCACTTGTCCATGAATGTATAATTGCGTTTCTCTGAAATGCCCGCACTAGGTAAATCTGTAGAGTCAGAAAGAAGTTTGGTGATTGCCTGGGGTTGGAAGACTGCAGGAAATGGGGAGTTACTCTACATGGCTGTGGGTTTGTTTGTAGTAAAAATGCTCTAAGACTAATTATGATGGTGTTTGTACAATTCTGGGAAAATAGTAAAAATGATTGACTTCTATACTTTAAGTAGGCATGATATATGAACCATGTTTCAGTGCAGCTATTATATATAAAAGAATATTAGAACATATTTAATTTGTACAAATTATGTTCGTTCCTGATTTGAAGTTATTAAAATCTCCTAGAAACCAGGTCATAATTCCCCATTGTTCTGGAAAGAAATGGTTCATTGTAGTGCAAACAATTTATATCCTTATGTAATTAGAAGGAGAGCTAAAATTGAAAATGTGGTAAAACTTGTTTCATTCTCTCAATTCCTGGTTACAAGGGAACTGGCTCAGGGTTGGCCTTTGTGGATAATCAAATGAGTGATATTGAATTTTAGAGTAAGAAAGCACCTTAGATTGTCTTCCTCTTACTTTAGTTCAGAGTGATTATGAGCTAAGCAGCTTCCTCCACCATGTGCTCCGGCTGTATGCGCTGCCTTGCCACAGACCCAGATTCAGTGGGGCCAACTGATCATCCCTGAAGCCTTCAAAACCGTAAGCCAAGATGGCCTTTTCCTTTTTTAAAAAAAATGATTATCTCTGGCATTTTGTTATAGTAATAGGAAGCTGACTAACACACATAGATTAAATACTTGTATATATAAATTTCAGCTCTCAAGATTAGAAAATCTCAGGCTAAAAAAAAGGTGAACGTATTTCCTCAGTATATGACTTCTGGGAGCATTCAGTCCCACAGGAGAAATTTAAAGTTTGTAGTATTTCTCAAATCTATTTGACCTGAAAATAATTTTTCAGAGAGCATCTTAAGGAACTAATGTACTATATAACATGGTTGGGAAACATTGGCATAGCCTACATCCTTCATTTTATTAATACGAAAATTGGGGTCTAGAAAGGTGAAGTGACAAGTCATACTATAAGCTATTGATGAAACCAGAATTTAAAGCCTCTTGCTTAATAGCCTTACAGTGGTTGTCACTTTGCTTTGGGATGGACAGCTTTGTGAATTATCCTCTCTATTTTGTTTGGGCATTGTAAAAATGCCATCCTTCTCCAACATCTAAACTGGATGAATGAAAATGTTTTTAACCATCTCAATGACTAGCAGCAGTCAGCTGGTGGGAGGAGAAGCTAAATAAGTACAAAGAAGAAATGAATTCCTAGGCCTTATGGGTGTGACAGAGGTAGCTAGCTATCGAACAAGATTTCATACTTCTTCATTCGTGTGGCTGTGTAGGGATATACCTGTGCCTGCAGGTGTGGCTTTGCAGCAGGGTCTCACTAAGGGACGTGCAGGTGGTATTTCTAAGCAGTCAGGAACTGTCTTCCCTTTCTCTTTCCCTTTTACCATCTGGCTGCTGAGCATTCTGAGTCCCTGGAGAATAACAAACGTACTACAATGGAAAAACACCTACACTGCCAACCCATGTGTGGAGCAAAGCCATTGAATGACCATGGAGAACGCTTACAGGAGCAAGTAATGAACTATTGTGTTAAACTACTAAAAGTTCCAGATTTAATACAATAGTTCACATTGCCCTAGATCATATTTAGATAGAGATATGGAAGAAAATATTGGGGAGAGAAGAGATAAAACGTGTCAGGAGTATGTTTGGAGGAATTTAAAATGTGGGGACACAGCTGCTCTGTCTTAACTGGAAAGGACCTGAACACAACAGGTTAACACCCCCTTACCCAACTTCCCAAACCAATATCCTCTCAGTCAGCACGTCATGTGGCCTTGCCCTGCTAAGCAAGATCTTGTGTTTTTATTTCTCTTCACTCCTGTTGTCAGTACCCTCACCTGGGTCAACTTCAGCTGTTAGTGGGACTCCGGGAGATGTGTTCTAATTAGTTACATATCTTACAACACGAACACGGGATTATGATCCACTCCTAGCATGCCCTTGGTTCTCCTGCTGTCCCCCAGCATGGACCTCTTCTGTTAGTTTCCAAAATGATTAAAGTATAGACTCTTGCGGGACACATGTGCGTCTGCATGTCCTGGCCTGTGTTTCGGCTTCCACCTTCCTGTCCTTGGACTCTGTACCTTTTGCTGTGACCATGAACTTCTCTAGGTCCTCTGAGTGGGTCACTTCCCTTGCCTCTTGGCCACTGTTCAAAATACTCCCACTTCCTGATGTGCCCTGATTCTTCCAGTCTCCTTTTTCCCCCTTCCAGGTCCCTCCCGCCAATAGTTTAAGTCCTGATCCACTTAGCTGTCGCCTCTTCTAGAAGGTTCTCTCTGACACCCTCAGGCTACAGTAGCTTCTAACTTTCGGTCTGTCCTTAGGACTCTATTGAAACACAAAAGAACCAAACAGCTGGGCCGGTAGCAATAGTGATTTATGTTATATTTGCTACAAAAATCCATGTTAATTTTATCATTATCCTGCCCTAACACTGTTGTCAGATTGTGACTAAAGGATCACTGTGGGGTTTGTACACTGTGTGCGGAAAAAGTAACTAAGAAAAACCAGCCGCATGAGGTCATTAGGGAAGAGCTCATGCTTCTCATTGGACAGACAAGAAAACCCCGACTCTTCAGGGTTAGGAGACCTGCTCCTAGTCACGTGGCCAGCCAGAAGAGAACTGAGAATCAGACCAGAGCTTGTGATTCCCCAGCCAGTTCTCTTTCCACTACACTGCACAGCCCCGGGCCTTAGCATTTCCGTGTCCCAAAGTCTTCTCAATTTCTGAGATCAAACAGGACATTGGACACCAAATATGCCTACTGGGACTGCCTGGTTCCCTCTCTCATTCACAGGTACTTGTGATTGTGGAGCCTTGGGGCGTTCTGCAGGCTGCAGCACTTTGCGCTATGGTTCCTCTTTTTGCTTGGAGGCCCCCCGCTGCCAAGGGGTCAGACTGGCTCTCACCGAGACCAGTGTCCTTGCGCATAGTGGCTTCTTCCACTTCCGCAGGACTGGACAGGGAGTGGCATCCATCCTGCTCACTCCACAAACCCAGAGATCCACAGGTTTTATGTTTGGCTCTTGCTTATCATGAAACCTGAACCTAACATGTGAGTGAATTTCAGAGTTTCCCAAATCTCTCAGTTTAGTTCTCAGTGCACACTGCAAAAGCAGATAATACATACAGTACACAGAAAGGCAGAGGTTGTCCAAGCTTGATAGGAGTTTTAACTCTTTCTTTTAAAGGAGGCAATCTGGACATAGAAATGATCAGAAATAAATGTCCAGGATGTGGTGGCAAGTGTTGTGAGGTGTCTCTTTGGGCCCATTCTATAATCCATTCCATCACAGTCATTCTTGGAAGCCTCCTCCAGAAACCTACTGACTCGGACTTAGCACTCTGCCATCCTTACAGGGAGCCGTTTTCACACAGGCCTTTACAAGTGATCAGGGTGAGACAGTTTGTGTGTGTGTGGGTAGGTGGTGGGGGGGTCCTAGTTCTTGCGGCTTTGTGTAACAGGAGGCTTAGAGAGGGTATATAGAACTGTGAATACTTCTAGATATCTTTCAAGAATGATGCTCATCTCTGGCCCTTTGGTATACAGAGGAAAGTGTTGGAGAGGCAAAACTTTCGTTAGGCTCCATGAGTTAAGGCAAAAAGGCAGAAGTATAAGAGAGACTGTCAGGCACCAGCTGCAGCAGCAGGGCTGGAGGGTGAGCTCTTGGGGGATGGGTCAGAGATGGAATTATTGCCCCTGGCACCTATGGTACTTTTAGCCTAGTAGTCCTCTATAGGTGGGAATGAAATCTTTGAAGAGATCAAACAGGATCCATCAGTTCCTCGAAGCTGTGATACCTTCAAGTCCTATAGGATATCCACGTCTCAAATCCTCTCGTGTTCTCTGAACCAAAATTGCTCCCATCAGACAGGGAAGATACCCAGGGTCCTCTGTTCTCCACTCTTGCATCTTTTGAACCTTCTCTTGTAGTCCTAGTCCACCAGTGATAGGCAACTGCCCAGATTATGGCAGTGTCATGCCAGGTGGAGAAAGGATATATGTTCACGGTAGAGGGCAGGTCCCAGGTAATGGAGGGCAGAGCGTGACTCAGAAGGGGAAATCACCTTGTGAGTATATTAAATTTCGTCCCATTCACCGGGTGTGGTGGGGCACATCTGTAATCCCAGTACTCAGGAGACTGAGGCAGGAGGATCACTGTGAGTTCGAGACCAGCCTGGGCTACAGAGTGAGTTCCCGGTCAGTCTCAACTACATAGTGAGACCCTGTCTCCAACAAAAACAAATAATAATAATAAATGAATAAATAAATTCCGTCCCGTTCAAGGTAGAAGGTAGCGTTTCCTTATTCTCACGTCTCCGCTGTCCTTCTTGGTGCCTGCATGGATGTCTAAAGAATCGCTAGGGAAACAAATGAATGAAAGGAAGAAGCAAGTGTTTGAATTAACAAGTAAATTAATCAGCTACCTAGGCTACAGAATGCCTGCTGAAAAATACAGAGGGAATTATAAAACCCTGGTGACTGAGGCGTACATTTGGATGGATTCTATGATGAAGAAAGGTCATCTGTTTATATCATTTCTATTGATACGCATTTCTTTTTCTCTTTTGTATTTTCCAGAAATCTAGAAGACAAAGTTTCTTACTTTCTCACACTGTGACAGCAATGCCCAACACCCACACCTTAAAGGAAGAAAGGTATATATTTTACCTCATAGTTGTAGAGGTTTCACGCTGGCTCCAAGACTGTAGAATGGCTGGTGCCAAGGCAGGTGGCAGGGCAGAGAGACATACCAGAGGAGAGACAGCTCGTGGTATTGTGGCAGGAGGCAGAGAGCAATCGAGGCAGGAGGAAGAAGATACGTCCTTCCAGGCCGTGCCTCAGTGGCACATCTCCTCAGAGAAGGCTTCACTTCCCAGCTTCACACTGAGCTATAAGCTCCTCGCTATGCTAATTCACTGATGAGTATCTCGCCCTCAGAATCCAGTCACCTCCGCAGAACCCCACCTATGAACACATGAGGCTTTGGGGGACACCTAGAGAGAAACCGTAACACAAGTAACTCTGAATTGTTTTATTTTGAATATCTAAAATAATTTTTGGTGTTATTCCTTTCGATTCTGTAGCCAGTAGATTTTCTTTCTCCCAATGAGCTAATTTTCGCTTATACTCTCTCAAGTCTCTTGTCTGTGGTTACCATTTGGCCTTGTCATCACTAAAATCATTAGCATCCTGGTAGGAAAGAGGCAAATAGAAACCAAAGGCAAAAGGGTGAAGAGTGGATCTCTAAAGGCAGAGAGCCCTGTAGTCCTGAGTCCTGGGTTCACCGTCTGTCAGAATCACATTGTACTTAGCTTCTAGATTAGATCAAAACTTACCTGTGAGTATGATTATGAGTAAGAACAATACTTTGCATACTGTTTAACAAGCAGTGAATGCTCACTTTTGGTTGTGGCTGTCACTATAGTGTTATTATATTACATAACATCGTAACGCCATATCAGTCAACATAGTATGATAGATATAATTACATAGCGATATTATATTGTGTAGAATTACATTATATATAGCAGTCTTATATATAGGCAGTAGTGTACTGATCATGGCCTTGTTAGACCAGTGTATGTGGATATGTTGACCAAAGTCATATCCTCCCTGGACTTCTGTTCCAATCAACCCCTTACCCTTAAGGTCTCTCCTATGTGCATTCTGGAAATAGAACCCAATAGTCTGCTTGTTTTCCCTCTGAAACAACCTTCAATTACACCTCTGGTAGGCCATCCTGCCCTTCCCTAAATGTGTCCCCCTTCTCATTCTGGAGAGACTATTTGAGTTCAGAGTCCTGAGGAAATGCAGAAACCTTACATTTCAGAGGGAAAATCCCTTCATATCTCATTTTTTGACGTGAATTTCACCCTCCCCCTCCAGCATTCCCAACTCCCACTCACCTAAACAAGCTGGGTTTTAGAATTGGTTGGAATCATGAAAGTTTAAGGTGATTAGAGCTCAAGGACAGGGCTAGAGTTTAATCTAACAGCTTCTTTCCTTCTCTGCACTGAGTCCAGTCAAGGCCAGAGCATTGTGAAGAAAAGACCAAGATTTTCTAGTTGCCTTGGGCTACTGGATTTCAGGAAGGGAGAGGGGAGTTTCTATTTCTTAGAAAAAATAAGGCATTCTGACATGCATGAGTCTATGTTTACCCTGCAGCAAACATTGTTGGTTAATTTCTACTCTCCTTTTCATTTTCTTCTTTATATTACAGGATCTCCATTTTGGGGGGCATCTCAGGAGAGATGGAGCCTTCCCCCAGCCTGAGAGGATGAAACATAATTTACTTACGCCAAGTATGGAAACCCCAGTCCCCCTTTCCTGTGATTAATTTGGGTTTAGGCAAATAATCTAGTTCTATTCAATATAACCAAATGGACAGTCTATTGGTAGGTTCTTCTCAGAAGACTTTTGTTTTCTGTTGTAGAAGAATCATGAATTTCTTTCCTCCCTGACTAACTGTAGTTGTATGAGAACATGGTACTTAAAGCTGTAACAACCATTTTTGTTACCATGATGAAAGAAGTCAAAGACAAAGGATCCAATAATAGAATGGAGCATGGGTGATACCACTGAACTGCTGAACCAATTTGGAAATATCTGCTTCTAGGCTTCCCATGACTTGTGAAATGAAGAAGACTTTCTGTTTTAACCATTTCTTTTCTGTTGCTTGAAACCAAACATATTATATATGACTTACTATCCAACTTATTTCATCATTTTATCTATTTTTAATGTTGTTTTATTGATTGATTTTTATATTTTTAGCATTAAGTATAATCCCAGACCTTAGTAAGACTGCAATAAATGAATGAAAACTGTGTTAGGTGATAACAATTTTAAGAGTTGTAGAATTATAAGGGTCAGAATTTAATTTCGGGTTCTTTACAATTTTTGATTGTTTTTCTGCTCTTTTTCTCTACCTGATTCTACTTTTACTGGAACAAAAAAATGATTAAAATGAACTATCAAAAATGTCTATACACGACAAAAACACAGAATATTATCTGTTGGTAAATAAATAATGACTAGTCACTGTTGCTAAGAAATTTCTCTTGAGAATTTCCAGAAAGTCTCATCAGCTGCATTTATACCTAAACCTCTGGTGATCAGTATTTCAGTGACTCAAATCAGTGTACATAAAGCAGTGAAATATTTAAAGGAATACTGCCTTAGAAAATCTTAGAAGATGTGCCTGTTTCTTAACAATTTATTTAATATCTTCTCTCTACTGGACATTTCACTGCTCACTGTAGATGAAAGATGAACAATCACATATGTCCTTTCCTTAAAAGCCCATGAGGCCAAAGCAGGGCTGGTGATTCACATGAAGGTACTGCCGAGTCTTGGATCCAGTTCTCTTAGGGTAGAACAGAGCTACTACTCAGTTAATGAAGAAATCAAATGCCTAGATATTACCTTGTGACATAGAGTCCTTGAAAACATCCCAAGTTTGGTCCTTCCTAGCCAAGATTGCTTTGGGAAGTGACTTATGCTATCACCTTCAATTCTCAGCACTTTCCCTACATTCTCCATAGCAACCTCTTGCCAGGGTACCCCCTGCACGAGTCACCCAGCAAAACTATTTCAGAAGGGGAACAGGTTTGAGGGCTGGGTTTTTTCTGAGTGGAAGGATTAAAAGTAGGGCCTTGCTTCCCTATGGATGAGCAAAAATAAAGAAAGTACGTATGAGACCCCATGCTCCTTCTTAGCCAGCCATGACTTCTGAAGGAGACCAGAGCTCTGGCAGAGTATCATTGGTCCACCAGTCTCAAGGCTTCTTCTCAGTTCCACATGGACCATAAATGCACCAAGTTACCAAACTTAAAGCTATTAATTTTATCACTGGTTTGCTGTCTTAGGGTTCACTAGAGGAACAGATTCTACATAAAATATGCAGTGGCCACCTGTGAAATCAAGGGTGTGAGAATACAAAATGTCTGCCTACCCTGGAGGCCTGGAGGATCCTGTTGAAGATCAAAGGCCCAGAGCTCATTGTAGAGTTCAGTATGGGTCATTGTTAGAAACCCAAAGGGTCTATATTTGAAAACGAAAGAGTCTGCCCTGGAAGCCTCAAGGAACTGAAGATGAACATCCAAAGGGAAGGGCAAAGAGTGGAGCTCCTTAAAGGAAACAAGAGAAGACTTCCTTCTTTTCTTTCGTATTCTGTTCAGCCTATATGCCAGTTGGTTAGTACTATCCATATCTGTAGTGTGCCTTTCCTCCTTATTTTGGTCTACATATCAGTTATCCTCAGATATGCCCAGAGCTTTACTGATATGCTAGGTGTTTCTTACTCAAGTCAAGTTGACATATCTCAATTAATGATCACATCTGCCTTTTGTAGAAATCGCTGGCAATTGATACTTCTGTCCCTCTCTCCTAACATATGAGCCTTCACATCCTCCTTTACACATTTTTGTGTATTCTCCCATTACCATACACCTAGAGATATCCTGGCTTTCTGTTAGTTGTTCCATGTATATTGTCCTTCCTCCAGAGACACTGGTATGAGATCCTGACGTCTTGGGAATGCATCCCAGCTGTTCCACTTTATGCTGTTGGATTCACTCATGGCGACTCCCTGTGGCTCAGTTTCTGCCTCTATGAAATGAAGATTTACCACCCTTTCTTCCCCCATTCCCATGGGCTTCCAATTTGTGAGTGTGCCCCACACAGACACATATGTGTGGACCCACGAGCCTGGCCATCATGATATTTCAGACTCGTTCTGCAGCTGGGCCTATGTACTGGGTAAAAAGCCATCAAAGTGTACCTATTATTGATGCCTACAGACTATGCTTCAATAAAATATTTACTGAAAAGTTTTTGCAGTTATGTCCCACCCACTGAGCTGGACAGGGCTTACTTTCTCACTCTGCTGTCCCCCATTTTAGTTTAGAGAATTACATGTGCATATACATTTATTTTAGAAAGCAACATGAAACAGCAAACAAATGAAAATTAAAGACATCGCATGCCCTTCCCAGCACCTGGAGACAATCGCTACTAATATTTTAGCAGGTGTATATCTTTACAATAAGAAACTTATGCTACTTGTGCTTTATAATCCTTGTGATAAACCTACCTGCAGTGAAACAATACAATTTTAAAGCATGCATTCTAGTTCACTGAATGAGTACAGCTCAACTATTCAACCAATCCCATTGTCACAGTTCCAGTATTCCATGATGCTGTTGTGAACGGCTTTGGATCTAAATCATTGTGTTATGCTGGTGTTTCACTCCAATTTTAATTATTCACACCACTTGTCTCAACCTTCTTTAGGTTTCTTGGTCTTTGTGGAAATTCAGAATTGCTTTATTATGCAGTGTATCTTCTGGACTTTTCCTCTGAAAGATTTACAGTTTACTGACACAAAGAAGGAGCTTGACAGAGCTGTTTTCAAAGACGGAATGGAAAGGAAGAGGAGCAGTCTCAGATGCAGAGTCTCTGGGCTGGAGTGGGCAGGCTCTACCTGGTAGTCTCAGGATTTCAGACCCCTGATTTGCTGGGGCTGATGCAGCTCAGGAGTCTTGCTGTGATCTCAGTGGTATTTGCTCCCTCAGTGTTATTTGTTGTGCATCTACCGTGCTAATGACTGCAAATTGTTAATGGCTGTGAAAAGCTAATTGTTGTGCAAGGTGTTTCTCTCTGTCCCAATTGCCAGGGGAGTCTCTGTTAAGCAGAGACTCATTAGAGCCTCTGACACCGTCCTCCTGGGGAATCCTCACAGCAGTCTGGCAAACAAACAAGCCTCCACCCACCCAAACGAGGAGTCTTTGCGCTTGGCTGGCAACGCAGAGCAGGAGGGGCAAGGATTTAGGAAGCCCTTTTCACAAAGAAACTAAAGAGCAGGACATTGTGTGTTGGTCTCCAGCTGGAGAACCGAAGAGGTGGAAAGGATTCAGCCTTTACAGGCAAGTCCCCTAAAATAATACCAATGTAGCAGCTGGAGCAGGCCAGATACCATGCGTGGGGCTTTGTGGCTTTTTCTTTGACTCACCCCCCACCAACACACTTTTCAGCGGAGTGCACTGGGGCTTAGAGAATGAACATTCCTCCAGATTATTTTTATTTCAGTGACCAGATTCTTAACCATTGCGTAACCGTTCCTCTTGAAAACTGGTAGGCCAGCTTCAGGCCTTGCTGGTATGTGAGAAGGGAGACACGCGTTTGCCGGTAAAGTATCCCAACAGTAAATATAACTGATTATACTCCATGATTACCTCATGAAAGGTGGCTGGCTAAAAAGCAAAGCAAAAAAGCAGTCCACACTGGCTCCTGAATGTTCATTTCTTCTGGGTTCCTATAAGTAAGGTTTTGCTTCCACTGAAGTTTTGTATCCTAAGTTATGAAAACAAAAATAACGATTTGGTTAGCTATTATTTCCTTGTCCTTTGATTTGACTTTAATGGTTTATTTGATAAGGCAAACTTTGGCACAGTAATGCATTTTGAATTCATAATGCTGCAAGTTTTGCAAACCCTATCCTACTTTTTTGATGCGCTCTTTAGAAATATTCAGCTGCCTCCCCAAGCCCCGGATTTTAAGACATCTTTCTTTGCCTTCCTTTTCCCAGGTACTATAGCAATTTGCTACTTTGTGCTGGTAATTTCACATGCAAAGTTGTGCTGCCAGTTACGTATAACTTTTGCAGAAAGAAATTGAATTGACAGCAGTAGAAACTGATGAAGAATCCCTGTCTAGAATTGCTCTGGAGTGGTTAGCTGGAACTCGTCCTACATATTCCTTGTGAAAACAAAACAGTGAGGCCAGTCCTTTGGGAATGGCAGTCTGCTGACACGGGTAGACGGAAACTCTGTCATTTATAGTTGTGGGATAAGTTGCCTGGGCAACACAGAGATTTTTTTTTTGGGGGGGGGCATGCAGAACCAGCCCCACCTGCCATCTTTCCCATTATTTTCCCCTGCCTCATTAGCCTAACAGAGATAGCAAGTGCCTTTATTGGCTTGGCTATTAATGGAGCAAAGAGCTGGTATGAAGGTTCATGTTAAACTCCTGACTACCTCACTCAGTTCAGTATTGAGATTTCGTGTGAGTAGAAAACAAAAACAGAAGAGTTCGTATTTTCAACTCCTCAGGAAGTGACATGCACTGATTATGGCTGATAAATTATTCTTAGCATAATTATTCCAAGAACACGATTTAGTGCAGTAAGAGAACTTGATGCAAATGATGTTACTAAATAAATTAAAAGAGAAAGCAAAGGAGAAAGCTTACTATAGTGAGAAAATAGCCCCTTTAAAGTCAGCCCCAGTCTGGTCTCAGCCTAGAATGCATTATTTCAACTCAGGATGGACATAGAATATCCATCCCATAATTTTTGTTGGTCATCATGAGCTAGAGAAAAATGAAACTTATTTCTAGTGTTGCTGAGCTAACCATTTTCTACGAAGCAGCCCCACCCTTGAAAGGACAATATCTCTGTAGAAATGGAACGCCTTTCTCCATCAGATGAGCCCACAGCCAGTGGAGAAGCAACATTCTGCAAAAGACTTCAGTATGTTGAATACATCTTTGTGGTTTCTTCTGCGTAGGATTTGGGGAAAAGACAAAAGTAGTTCATGATTCTCAAAAGAATCCTCCACCCTGCTACGTAAATAACTGTTTAGGAGAAAACCAGTGCGTATTTTCTTCTCAAGATCATTCTTTTCTTGACTGTCTTTCCTTGGTAAATGTTCAGCATCATTTGCCCAAGCCAGCAACACCTCCCTCCCTTTCATGTAAATTACTCAACTTGAGTGTCCAGTGGCTTCTGCCTCTTTAATATTCCTTGCACCTTCTCTTTATTCTCACCTGTCCTTCCTTGGTTTCAGATGCTTTCTCTTCTTTCTTGAATTACTGCAATAGTTATTCAAAGACTTATTTGCCCCACGCTTGTCAGCCTCTATGACACAGCATGAATCTGTTTTTAAATCCAGATCTGGTCATGTCGTCTCACTGTCGATAAACCTGGCACTTCTCCAGGGCTCAAAATCTTTAGCTTAACAGAAGAAAAATGGAAGAAGCGGATGTTTTACACCTCTTGTTCTAGTGGGGTATAGAAGGCATGAGCCATGCGGAAATACCTAGTGCTGTACCACCTTTTGTAGCAGGAGAACAGGAAGGACTATTCAGATGCAAGCTCTGTGATTAGACGTATCACTTGGGTTCAAGAAGGCCTAAGCTCAGATATGAATTTTCTATCTGGCTATGGTTGTGGTATGGAGTGAATGTTTGTGTCCCCTCAAATTCCATATGTTGAAATTTTAGTAGTATTAGGAAATAGTTAGATCATGAAGTAGAGCCCTCAGAAATTGGATTAGTACCCTTATAAATGGACCTCACAATGCTCTCTCACCCTCTTTCTACTATTTGAGGTTATAATGAGAAGTTGGGAAATGACTCTCACCAAGACACAACGAGCTGCTTTCAGCCTCTAGATCTATGAAAAATGTTGTTGTTTATATGCCAGCCAGTGAATTCTGTGTTATAACAACCTGAACTAAGTTCCAAAAAATGTAGGATAACCAATTAAATTTGAATTTCAGAAAAATAATGAATAATGTTTCAGATTAGATATGTTCAGTGTCATAGTTGTCTGAAGTTCAAAATTTAACTAGGTCTTTTGTATTTTTATTTGCTAAATCTGGCAATCTGATGCCATAACACTAGGTATAGAGGGGAAGATGAAGACAAGGAAAGGTCTGAAGAGGGTCAGGAGGAGAAATCTAAGGTCCAATACAAGGAAAGGACTTTTGGTTTAATATGGCAGGTAAAATCACAGGTCGGGCTAGGGATTTAGCTCAGTAGTAGTGCACCTGCCTCACAAGTTCAAGGTCCTGAGTTCAATCCCCAGTATTGGAAACAAATGAACAAAACAGGTCAAACTTAACTCTGCAAAACCAATCTCAAATAATAGAGACTAAGCAAAAAACCCATATGCCATGAAGGAGATGGGAATAGGACATAACCATAGATAACAGATTTCAAAAAATTTAGGGAAACAGAATGTTAGAAAGTAATACATAAATGATAACTGATTTCGTATAATGGAGAAAATTTGATGGGCAGAGAAAATGATTCAAGGACAAAAACCTGTGAAGGCTCAGGAATAGAGTCTTGGGGCTTCCGAAGATGTTAGGATGGGATGGAAAAGTTAAAAGCATGTAGGAGAAGTGTGTGGAACCTAGACCTTCCCCGCCTCCTGCTCGGAGGAGGTGAGAGGTTCCCTGCAGAATATGAACCTGGGAGGCCCCAGAGGTAAGCACATCAGGTCCCGAAAAGGATGAATTACTGTGCTAAAACCAGAATAAATTCTCCATAGGTAGTGGTAAAATCCTCGCTCTCATACTTCTGCTGGGTTTTTAGATTATTCATATCCAAGCTTCAGAAAAAGCCTATTCATATTACAAGCAGTTCACCAGGAAAACTACTAGGTCCCTAACTGATCCAACCAGTCCTCACCATTCAAGAGACCTTCCACAGCTTCCTAGGGACACATTCTTAGCCAAATACAAAGAGTCAATGAAGGAACAATGGCTGCTGTTTAAGGGAAGCTGCCTAAAATGAGAGAGATGAGAGAGAGAGAGAGAGAGAGAGAGAGAGAGAAACAGAAAAAGAAAAGGTAGTTGGAGGAAAGAAAGAACTTACAGAACAATTCAAGAACAGTATAATTATTCTTAAAGAAAAACTATATTTTACATCAATGAGACAATAAGATGCTATTTTGAAAAAGAACATCCAGTGCCAGAAAGAAATAGAAAACTAAACTATATCAGAGGTAAAATATGCAGTAAAAGACTTGAATTGGAAAACAAGGTACGAGAAATCTTAGAAAGCAGAACAAATCATCAAAGAGATGGATAAAAGAGAGGACACACACGTAAAGTAGCTCGGAAGATGAAACATCCACCCGCTAGAAATTCCAGAAAAAGAAAACGAAGGAAAAAATTATTAAATAAAATAAGAACTCGCATCTC